AGGCCGAAGTAATAAAATTAATTCTTCTAATGAAGCCCACTCTTCTGAATTAAGCAATAATTTTTTTAAATTATCACCATCAATTCGTGTAGTTCTGTTAGGATCTATAATAAGCTTATTAACTAATACAGAAAGTGTATTACGAAAATAAATAAGCCTTTTTAATAAAAAAAAAGTACTATTCCATCTTGTTTCTGTATCCGATGTAATTGGATCTAGAACATTTATTTCTCGTATATCAGATTCTATTATTATAATAAAAATATATACATATATAGAAAAAAAGTATTCATAATTTTAATCTTAGATAATTTATTACAAATACTTTTTTCCTATATTGTATATTAAATATATAATAATTAGTTATTAAGTATTATCATTATAGTATTTTGTTCAAATTAAGTACATATAATAAATATGATTATTTACCTTTAGTATTTATTTCGCGAAAGATTGCTTTAATTAGTGGACGGTATTTATCATGATTAACAATAAAATTATTTAACTTTTTTGCAGCATCAATTAAATTTTTTATATGTTTTAACCCGTCTTTAATTGCAAGTTGCATTATATGCGCAACACAACAAATATGATTAGTTTCTAACTGGCGCATTGCCTTGACCATAGATGAATCATTATCAGTTGTCCTGCCAAAAAGTTTTTCAGTAATACTCCATTTTTGAAATTCTTTGCGCAAACAATCTTCAATATTATCAACCGTATGAGAACAGTTAAAACTTTCGATTGTAAGTAATCCTTGTTTAATTTCAAAATCAGGTGTTGTCCAGTGAATTGTAATTCCAATATAAGGCTTATGATCCTGTGTCTACAAGTCAGTTGTAAAAAAGAAGGATTCTATAGAATCCTTCATTAATTCATTTAAATTTTATTCTACAGTATTAACATCTCTACTCATAGTTTTATATAAGGAATTTTTACACAGAATAGAATAAAATGATCCAAGCTTATGAACAAATTTTTGAAATTTACGATTTTCGACTACATGAAATGCTTGCATGTCATCTATTAACCAATCTATTAAACTATATGTAATTCGTTCAATTTTATTTTGTTCTGGTGGATTATTTTTATGTATTTTAGAGCTTACTATTTCAGTTTCTTTCCCTTCAATAATTCGATATTTGGCTCTTAAATGACTAGCAATATTAGTTGTGCTTGTTTTTTCTTGACAAAACCATTTGCATTGACGTTTAACACCATTTTTTTCAATTAAAACTTGACATTGCCGAGTTTTTTTATTTATAAATTCCCAAACCCAGCTTTCAACACTTCGTTTAGCTGGAATAACCTTCATAAGAGGCGTAGTAGGTTGATCAATTTCTACTTCAGGATTATTTTCCACTTCGGGATTATTTTCTAAAGAGTCATCCATGTATAAATTTAGAATTTTAGACTGTTATTACAAGAGTTTTATTGCAAAACGTTTTACTACAAGATTTTTAAAGGTTGCAAACGATAATTCAAAACGTTATTTCTATAACAATAAGCTAATTATCCAATCAAAACTATAAAAAAAAACAATAACTAAACTTGTCCAATAATACTGCAACCAAGCCGGCTAAGTCGACTAGTCGATCAGGGGTCGGCTAAGTCGGCTTAGTCGGCTAGCCCCTAATCGGCTTACAACACTAGTTAGAACATCAATGTTTAGTTGCAAAATTCTTAAAATCCACATATCTCCAATTCTCACATGACATAGTGATCCACAGAGTTACATCTTATTGTGCTTTGCAAAAAGGGGTGTGATTTGCTGTACTAATTATTCATTTATCGGAGCCAATCAAATTTCACGATCAGGTGTAATGTAAAAGAAACGCAAAAAAAAAAAAAAGTCAAAATTAAAAATCGCCCATAACTCTAAATTAAATATATGAAACTGCCTTCTGCACACTAATAAAAATTTTCCTTGTGGTATAAGAAACGTTTTATAATTATAATCTAATGTCAAAATATTAATTCTAGTCTAACAGCGCGAATTTTTTACTTGAAAGTTTTTAATATAAATACTCCGATAATTGAATCATTAGTACAGCCAATCAGAAGTGGTGGGAGAAGATGTGGCCTCTGCAGATCACAATGCAGCGTGAGAATCGGAGATTCTGTAGATTTAAAAATTTTACCGATTCGAAGAAATATAAATGTGACCACTCGAAAATATATAAGTAATAGACAATCTCTCCGATCATTATCACAAAAATCATGTGGCCAAATCTTTGCAAAGCGCTATAACTATAATAAAAGATTTAAATCCGCTTTAAATGATTTAAAATAAAAATTAGTGATTTATAACATCGTGATTTAAATCATATGCCATCCTCACGACCACGGCCACTATATATAACTGTAACGGTAGAAATGTTACTAAAAGAGGATACGAAAAAGTAAATAACGTTTATATCATTGGTTGCAGAATAACGATTGTAATAAACAATCGTAAAAATTTGATTACAGCTGTTTTCATAAATTCTGACACCTAAAAAATTTGCCTACGATAATTTCGGCCGAATTCGATAAATGTTGTATAACACCGAAGAAATGACTTATCGAATTCGGCCGAAATTATCGTCGGCAAATTTTTAGGTTTTATGAAAACAGCTGTGATAAGAAATTATTATAACGCTTTGCAAAAAGATGTGGATTATCGGAGAAAATTTCTGAGATTTTAGATTGTCTGTTGTTTTATATTTTCGGAAATCAATAAAATTCTTAAATCGATAAAATCTCCGATTCCCACGATCTGCAGAGGCCACATCTTTTTGCAAAGCACAATAATAAACAATAAAATCTAGCTTTGAACAGGGACGTGGGAATCTCGTGATCTTAAGTAAAGTTTGTTTTCGGACGTCCTAAATATTTTCGTGCTTACTCTAGAACCAAATTCCTGGGAATAAATACGGAATTAACTTCAGTTTTTTTTTGGTTTTCGGACATGATTAAGGGTAGGGTGTCCGTAGATCATTTTTCATATGATCTACGTGGTATATTAAAATTTTACATAGACAGCAAAAATTCGCCACTGATATAACTTTTTAGAATCGTGACTAAACTTCACCAAATTTTTCCAGTATATAATTTGGGGTTTCTAATTTATAACAGTAAAATTATAAATACTGTATCTTTTAAAAAAATCTACTTCGTATTTTGATAAAAATACTTAGGTGGCCCCAAATTTACTTAGGTTGCACAAAAATTACCGTTTCTGATTGGTCAAATTTGTTGTTTTTACGATTCTGATTGGTCAATCACATGATTATTATACATTATACCTGGTATTATACCACTTTCTATTATACCGGTATAATTGCATCCCTAACCACATGATTACTATTAAAAATGATCTACGTACACCCTACCCTTAATATTAAACGACAATTTTCGGAGTAGCTATCCTAAAAAATCCTAAAATCCTAAAATACACCTTAAGGGATAGATGCTTATGTGCTTTATAAATGTAAAGTCCTAAGAACACTAAATCGTAAGATTCCAATAATATCACGTGATCAAAATCCACATAGTCAACTCTTGTACATAACAAAATGATGGATCTTATCTGTTATGATAAAAATTCTTTATAGAGTAATTTACTATGTTTCTATACCGAACTGTATAATAATTTTTTTAAAAAAAAGCTCATTATAGAGTAGGTTTGTTATAAAAAGATTCGTTATATCTAGAGTTTACTGTATTTAAAAAAGCCAGATTCAAAATATATTAAGTTCTAATGCTGAGATTAATATACAATTAAAATCTTACTTTTGGTTAGAGGGACTCCAAACCACATTTTTCTAGCAAAGATTGTCTTCGATATTTATACTCTGTGGATTAGGAATTACGTAATTTCATGAGGACTATCACGCCTATATATTATTATTATAATTGGTTGTGAATTTGATCACCAGAGGGGGCATGACTTTCTAATAAAAAGAAATTACGTAATAAACGACACTTCCCTTACCACCTAATTATTTTCCGATATATCGAAAATTCAATGTAACAACTATCTTATTTCTCATTCAATTCGTTGCTTTATGCATGTCTGCCTTGCAATATTTTTTTTGTTATGGCAAGAGAGTAGACTAAAAAAGGAAAGGTCTGAAACCTTTTACCAAAAGATTAACAGTACAGGCATCTGAATTATGTTTATAGTCTATTAATTTCTTTGTACGTATTATGCCTACATACATATCGATATATATCGTTAGTATAAGAGAAATGCATCTATTTATGACAAACCTTTGTTGAAACTCTTCCCAATATTCATTTTTATTGAAAAGGATGGTCCGATTCAATTCGAGGATCGGATGATTTTGAGCTGCCTTTTTAATGATCACATTACAACTTTTTAATATGCAACAATCTTAGTGCAGTCTTAATTTGTTTTAACAAAGAACAATGTAAAGAATAATGTAAAGATTTAAGAGATTGTTTAACTTTTTTCGACCTAAACAAGAAAAATGAAATAATATTATTACTGGAATTTGAGAATCTAATGGCTATCCAATTATGTTATATTGGATTCTGATATTTTTAGTTTCATTAATTAGCCTGTAAAAGATAAAATCAATTAAGACATTTATGAATTATTGAGTTTTCACATGAAATATTAAAAAAAGAACAATGTTAGTAATAAACACCCCGTTATCTTGATTCATGATGTTATCGGCTTGACCCGACTTGTATATTAACTATTATAAAAAAATGGTGTTCAAATGGGATCCCCGACATTTATTCCGACAATCCCTTCCTCGATAATCACTTCCCCGACAATCACTTTCCTGACATGTTCATTTCCCCGACACTTTCATTTTCCTGACATATTCATTTCCCGACACTATAATAACAACTTGTTATGCTAGTGTTGGGAAATGAAAAATGAACATGTCGGAGATGTCCCGGTGACACAAGTGGGTTGTGTACGTTACAGAGAGTTTAGTAATAATAATATCCTGATCCGTTGGGAATTAGCGGAAACGGAGTTTCCGCTTATTCACATACGGTCAGGGTATTATTAATTAATACTCCCGTGATCTTGATATAGTGATCGGGGTATTATTATTACTAATCCCCTAGTTGGGTTAATGTCGGGGAAGTGAAGGTGTCGGGAAGTGATTGTCGGGAAAATGTTTATCAAGTGATTGTCGGGGAAATAAATGTCGGAAAAATGATTGGGACCCGTCCAAATGAGCCCTAATCATTATACAATGATCGGAGTATTATCGGAGCATTTTCTTTATCTAACCTAATTATGTGGTCTACAGTAAACATTGATCATACCAGAAGTTTGATCCGTCTTTGGTTAGATATACTTTCGGCTTTTTTTAGTGTTGAAATAATCAGTATGACAGTAGACACAACTTTCTCTACAAATATTCATTTATTCCATATCATGCAGGATCTGTTAATAATGAATTTGCCAACAATGGGATCTATTAATAATAAACCTCTTAATAGTGAATTTGTTAATATTGAATCAGTTAATAATAGATCAGTTAATATTAAACTTCCTGAATAGTTAATCTGTTAATAATGAACCTATCAATAGTGAATCTGTTAATATCGAACCTATTAATAGTGAGTCTGTTAATAACAGATCTGTTAATCGCATAGGAGTTGAAAGAATTTTTAAATGTTTATTCACATAATGGATAAATATGTAAAATAAAATAAAATAAATAAATACTGTAGGAAACATTATAATATTATTACTGTACTATTTGTTTTTATTCCGAGATTTTTTATTCCGACCAGGCAATTTTAATACGTACGTACGGATTCCAAACTCAAACCTGCATATATGCGCGTATATGTAGTGTACATGTAATAGATCAAATATGATCAACAGATTATCTATTTACAATCCATGAATCCATGAATCTATGAATCTATGGGTTTCTGAACCATATTTACATACGCGTTTCACCAACATTCTCTAGGGTAAACAAAATGTAAGCCTATCTTTACTTCTTATAATTCGGAATTTGGGGATTATTTAAATAATTTTCGTAATTTTTAACTTATATGCATACATAGTAACGTTTCACAAAGACAATCGGATTATCGCAACAGTTTTTAAACATTTTTAGTCAATTGTCGCGAAGAAAACCTGTTGTAATGATTGTAATTATATTTTAAAGAATATACATGCATATGATTATAAGGGTTTCTGATTCATTTTAATCAAGAATAGGAACGATAACCTTATGACTCATTGAATGCAACCAAAACAATAAACATTTTCACCTATCAGTTGAAAAAAAAACCAGATAAAGAAACACGTAAAGAATTTTCAAACGTTCCAAACAACCCTGAAAATTTACTAATCGGACTTTCGGAGTTAGAATCATGCAGTGGCGTCTCTATGAAACATTGAGT